ATATTTTAACTAATTCATATTCCGTTGAATAAACTTCTAAACTTCATTTTATGACAATTATATAATTAAAAATTTATGCATTGGAATTTCATTTATTTTTTATATAGATTCTACATAAATTAGACATAAATTAACAATTTTAAAATGAAAAACAGATGTGAAAAAAGTATTTAGATGGAAAAGATTGATTATAAAGCGTAAGATTCTTAAGATTGCAAATACATAATACAAATCATTAAGATTAAGGAATCTATTTTCATTAAGATTAAGGAATCTATTTTATGATAAGGCGTATTGTTGACTTCGGCTAACTAATTGTGAGTACTAGTAAAATATGATAAATGTCAACTTGTTTTAGCAAACGTTCTGAACTTCGAGTTAGTTGTATGAAATTCAGTAATATGGAAAAAAGAAGGTCGACATTATTAAGAAAGTTTGCATTATTTATTAAAACAAAAAGATTCAATCTACTACTTCCGTTTCCATTGAATTTAATTCATCAAAAAAAATAAATCATTTTGAGTTAGATAACGATAACGGCGCATTAAGAGCTTACATAATCAAGATCAAGCCATAAACCTGCTGATGTAACAACGGCAGTACAATCATTTGAAGTCGGGCAAATAGTATTTCCTAAAGATTTTGTACATCCAAGAGACCATGGAGTATTTCCGCCATTAAGCTTTTTAAAATATTTTCGAAAAAAGTAAGATAAGAATTCAACTTTTTACCTGAACTATAACTTTATAATCTGAAGGACTGCCATCATCCCAAAAATTGTATATCTGTCCTCCAAGTATAGCATTTCTATGCAACCCAATCCAAGAACAATTTATTTGTATAGTTTGGCTTACATTTGTAACAGTAGCTTGTTGTAGATCAGAATGAATAGAAGCTACTTTAGCGCCCACACTTTGACAAGTAGCTATAGCCTTAAAATTTTTAAAATTGTATATCTAAAAAATATTTTGCCTGCCAATAATTTCCAGGATAGGAAATCGGAAGTTGTTTGTTACCTGAACTATTACTCCATAATCCGAAGGACTGCCATCATCTTAAAATTGTGTATCTGTCCTCCAAGAATGGCATTTCTGTGCCACCACTAGGACTTCCTTGGCCCCACGGCTGAATTTGTGTTGTCGGGACTCCAGGTGTTGGGTTTTGTTTTAAGCTTTTTAAAAATAATTTTATTATTTAATATGAAATAAAAATAAAGTTTGTATTCGTTATTTAATTTTGGGAATTATTAAAAACAAATATTAATCTTGGATTTCAGAATTTGCAAGAATAAAAATTAATTTTATTCAAATATACGATACATAAAATCAAACATTTAATAATAATTCAGTATGATTTTAATACATAGTTTAGCTGTTTCTTTTTATAGATTGTTAAATCTTTATGTAAAAACTCTAAGTTGCATCCATGTTAAAATGTTTTTATCACGTCTAAATCAGTATTTTTAGAGATGACATTTATGCATTTTTTGCATTTTACCTTTTGCATTTTATCTTGAACAATGGTCATGCTTTGTTAAAATTATCAAAATATTTAACACACCAAAGGAATCCACTGTTTAAAATAATGACAAAACACAACATTGGCAAAAGATGACAAAAAACAACACAACATTGTTTATAAACACCGAGGCAGCACAATATCGACATAACTACTATCAAAGTACGAGTTGAAAGTTGCGTTTTAAGAAAAAACAAGAAATATTAAGATATAAATTAAAATTGTTATTATTTATTCACATGTTTTTCAGTAAAAACTTACACGTTGAATAAATATTTGTAAGGGCAAATTTCCTTTTATAAATTGCCGAATATAATAATTTCCTTTTTAAAGGCTAAGACGTCTAAAATTAATAATGTCTATAAAAAAGCACTTTAATATTGACATAAATAAATATTTATAAATAAATGCCGCTTTTTAATTTAAATGTATGTTTGATTGTCTACATTAACGTTTAATGTATATTAAAACACATTAAGGGAGAGAAAATTTAAATTTTTTTTATTTATTTATTTGTTAATGAAAATGTTAATGGGAATTACTTTATACCAGGGCTCTCATTCGTGCTTTATTTGAAAGTATTATACTTTGAAACCGACCTCCATACTTAAGAAATTGAATTTATACTTTATTGAAAGTATATACTTTAAAATCAACATTTTGGATTGAAAATGAAATTGGGGAAGGGATTGGGCAAAAAAGTGAATTTTTTTAGCCTTGGGCCTTCGAAATTATCAAAATTTTCGCCTGCGGCGCTGAAAAAGAAAGAAATCTGGCTTCTTGGGCTCCAAATTTCAAAAAATTTTCGCCTGCGGCGCTGAAAATGGGAGAAATCTGACTTCTTGGGCTCCAAATTTCAAAAAATTTTCGCCTGCGGCGCTGAAAATGGGAGAAATCTGACTTCTTGGGCTCCAAATTTCAAAAAATTTTCGCCTGCGGCGCTGAAAATGGGAGAAATCTGACTTCTTGGGCTCCAAATTTCAAAAAATTTTCGCCTGCGGCGCTGAAAATGGACGAAAGCTTGAGGTTAAGACTGTCAAGGCTTTATTTCTTGTATCAGCGAATTTTGACATGTCATGCGTTGAAATGCACAAAATGCCCAATGGAAGCAAGAAATTATTAGAAAAGATTCATTTAAGAGAGAAATATAAAAGATTTGAGCACGAACAAATATTTTCCAATTTAATTTTGAGTATACTTTAAATTTGGAAATTTTCTCCCTATATACTTTTTTATCAAGATTTTGATACTTTTGAGTGGCATTTTGTCGATGAGAGCCCTGCTTTATACAGATAACTAATTTAAAAAATAATATTTTAAGTAAATCTAAATTTAATTGTTTAATGCTTTAATATACTTATTTAATAAAGAAATTCCGACTGTTGATCATTCTCCAGGATGATCACTTTTTTACGTTTGGTGTCTAAAATTCCCATTTATACCCAAATTTCAGTGACAATATTCCGTTTTTTGATTTGGTGTCCAAAATTCAATAAAGCAAAATTCCAGAACCCAAGACAGAATTTAACATTAACCACTATAAGAGAAAATGTTTAATAAATTTAGTTTAAATTAATAAAAATGTTTTCTTCATTTAAAATAATTGTTTTATTATTTTTATTAAATTTACACATAATAATCGAAGCGGGTGACCCTTGTGAAAATCCATGCGTTAATTTTTTTCTGAAGCCAGAATGTAAAGGATGTAAGTATTTATCTTAAATAGATTTTAGGTCATTCTTAAAGAAATTTTTAATGTTTAATCTATTGAATAAAAACATCAAATAAAAATAAGTATTCAAATTTAAGTAAGAAATCTTTATTGAATAAACCTAACTAATTTTTGGAAAATAATACATAAAATAACACAAAATAACGAGAATAATGAAATTAAAATAGTTTTCCATGTAAAACATCTTTATCATCTAGTTCATATTAAATTGTTGCCCGAACTCCTAGCCCTGAAAATTTTCGATCCGAACCCGTACCGAGAAAATTATGAAAACCCGATCCGAAATCATATCCGACTTTTCACCCTCCAGTTAGCGTATGATAATTTTATAATATATTTTTATTTTATTTTTATATTTTAAAATTGCAAATGTATTTTAGTATATGAAAACAACAAAAAACTGGCTTTTCACCTTTCAAATCATTTGTATGCTACTAACGACACTGATTACCTTAAAAATTATTTAGCCGTGAAAATTATGATTTGGCACCGAAATATGAATAAAAGTTTTCTTAAAGGTTGGAATAAAAATGAAATGACAAAAAAAGTGCGGAAATGGACTGTTGATTTGTGGAAACTATGGAAAGATAGATTTGATAGACCTTATTGTTATATAATTGGTAGCGGAACAGAATTGTTAGATTTGAAAAAACTTGACATAAAATTGCCAGCTTTTATTTACCGTATGCTTGATTCAATTGAAAATTTAAAATCTAAAGATTTTGCTAATAAATACACAAACAACGAGCTTGGAGATGCTTTCTTTTTTGACGATTTACAGGTTTTAAACATAAATCGTATATAAAATTTATAAAAATAAAATAGATAAATTATATTATTGGAACTGACTTTTGGGTTGATAGTCCTAGAAAATCCATATATATCCAAACGGATATGAGAAAATTTCTGGAGATCCTCAATTTTCCGGATCAGTTTCCGCCAACTATACTGACAGTGAAGAAAAATTTATGATATCGAGCTCTACTGAATAGTTAACCCTAATCTATATTTAAAAGCTAAAAATACAGAGAATCGCTATTTCCCTGATATAAATCTAAAATTTCTATGCTAGTTCATCTTAATTTTTTATGAATAAATACATATTTAGGCAACATGGAAAGAAATAATTGACGAACTAAATAATAATAGCCTTTCAATATTTATTGATATAAATTTTGGCATTGAATTATCAGAAAAATATTACAGCGCATTTCTGGAATTACTCAGAAATGATGAATTTGATGATAGTTTTCGAACCAAACTTTTTAATGGTGAGATGTTTAATAATATTTATTTGTAAAAAATTCTGAAATTAAATTCTTAAAATAAATAAATAATATTAATTAAAATTTAATTAAAGATTTCCTAAATCAAGATGCGTTGTTAAATAAAAGAATGGAAAAAATATTCAGAAATTTTTCAAGATCATCATTTAATGCTTTAATTGAAGAAAAAAATAAAAAAGAAAATAAAACAAAACGTCAAACTCAAAAAGGCAAGAAAATTACTGACATAATTTTTTGGATAGTTTTTTGAATAGTTATTCGCAATTATAATAATTGAATATTCGAAAATGCCTAACCATATTGAAAAACCTTTCGTATTTTATTAAACCTATACTGTATATTATTGTTTAGCGTCTCGCTAAAGCGGGTATCTCGCTAGAGCGGGTAACAATTATTTGAAAGTGAGAAGGGGCGGGGCGGGGGTATTTTTGTATTTTTACGTAAAACTAAAAAAATTAAAAAAATATTTCAGAAGAAATCAGTGAAGTTGAAAAAATTTTAAATGATATGAAATTGACCGATAAAGGGAAGGAAAAGAAGGAAGATTTAAATAATAAAAAGAAAAATAAGAATTCAAAGAATCAAAAAAAGAAATCGAATAAAATTAAACAAAAAATAAATGTAAAATTAATTGAAGAAAATGATGAAGAAAAATTAGAAGATTTAAAGAAAGATGAAGAAACAATTGAAATCGTGAAGGATCATCAAAGCGTAAATGAGACAGAAAAAGAAATAAAAGAAAATAATTCTACGAATGAAACAAATACAAATGGAGGAATTGGTGAGGGCTGGAAGATAATTAACAAAAAAGATAAATCCAAAAAGAAGGATGAGATGATGCCGAAAAAGGAAGAAAAAGAAAAAATAAACAAAGGAAAGGAAAAAGTTTATAATTTTCCATTAGAATATGCTTGGAATAATCATAAGAAAATAAATTATAATAAATATTTGAATGAAGGGATGAATGAGAATCGAAAAGGAAAAACTATTGAAATTAATAAAGAAAAGGAAAAAGATAAAGGAAATAAAACGGAAAATAAAAACGAAATTGCGGAGAACACAAAAAATCCAGGATTGAATGATTCGAGAAATAAGAATATTCTAGAAAATTTGATATTTTCAAATTTCAACGAGTTTTCTCCAAAAATCTTTTTAGAAGAAGATGCATTAATTGAAGAATATAAATCATATATTTTGGACAATAATGATTATAAAAAAATAATTCCAGCATTGAACATTGGCATTTTTGTTGTTGAACTTAATAATAGATTGAAATACCAATTAGGATTCAAGGAAAAAAAGAATAAAAAGCTCACTGGATATTTAGGTTTAAGTTTATAATTGTAGAGCCTGACATTTTAGAGTTTTAGTTGGCAATTTTCGAGATATTTTCACATAATTTTATGATTCACAGGATTGTATCACAGCACGAAACTTAAGACACGAGTATCGTATACGTGTTCATGGTTTTGAAAAATTTATTGTATGGGCGATGGAATAGAACCATCGTGGAGTGAGCAAAGACAGAAGCACAACCGACTGTGCCACCATCTACAGTGGCGGAAATTTAAATAGGGAAAAATGTTTTTAATTTTATTTCTGAAAATTATTGGGCTAATCATTTATCTTGGGTGATAACTCTTATATATTTTGTACGAACACAACAGCGAGCTTGGTAATATTCAATTTCGTTCCCCCCTCCTTTTTTGCATCCTCAAAGTATTAAAAAATGGTCAGTCTGATTTAAGTTATAGAACTCGTCGAGCTGAGTCGAATGACACCAAAATCAAAAAAATCCGACTTGATTGGACCGAAATACAGACCCCTGAAAATTGAACAACCATAGGGGTGATTTTTTAGAATAAAAATTTTTTATGTAAATGATAGCTCATTCGAAAGAGCTCGTCGAGCTGAGTCGAATGACACCGAAATCAACGTAATCGGACGAGTTTTGACAAAGTTATGGCATTATTTAGACCTACCGGAGTCGGCAACCTTATGTCATAACTTTGTCAAATCAAGTCGGATCACGTCGATTTCGGTGTCATTCGACTCAGCTCGACGAGCTCTTTCGAATGAGCTATCATTTTTATACTTTTTCGTCTTTTTAGTATTTCGCTCCCGTGGTTGTTCAATTTTCAGGGGTCTGTATTTCAGTCCAATCAAGTCGGATTTTTTTGATTTTGGTGTCATTCGACTCAGCTCGACGAGTTCTATAACTTAAGTCAGACTGACCATTTTTTAATACTTTGAGGATGCAAAAAAGGAGGGGGGAACGAAATTGAATATTACCGCGAGCTTTATTTTGGTATCAACTGCCAAAGCTCATCGAACATTTCGACTGACATTGTTTAAATTTGTGTATGAGCGATATGCCTGAATTTTTCCCTAAGCTATAATTAACACATAATATTTTTATTTAAAAGCAACACAAGAATTTGGTCAAGAATTTAACAAAATAGTGAGAGATAAAAATAAAATAAAAAGATTAGATCAATTTCAAAGTTTAGAAATAAAATTGTTTCATTTACTTAAGAAAATAGTTCTGATTATGGAAGGGTGGAAATTAATAAATGAAAACAATGAAATAATAGTAGATTACGATGAAATAAGAATAGTTAGAGCTAAGCTGCATAAACAAATGTATGTATTTATTATTTATAATTTATATATGTATATGTAATAAATAAAAATTTTTCAAAATTTTTACATATACATTTTTACATATAAATTTTTACATATAAAAATTTTTCAAACCCGATCAAAATTTTTTGATTTTTCTTTTTATTTCAAAGATAGGGTATGGTTCCTTAACAGATCTTCAAGATCGTACCTACGCCCACTGGGTCTGTTGTAGTTTTTTACCTATTCCTCGAAATTTCTAAATTTTTATTCATTTTTCTGAAATTTTTAATTTAAAATTGGCTATAACTTTTAGAAATTTATAGAAATAAGATAATGAACGGCCCAGACCCATTACAGTAATTATAAATTTATACATATAAGATAAAAGATTAAGACAATTAAGGCTTGCTCATGCAATTATTAATCATCAATTAGATTATATTAAAACTAACTATGAAGAAAAGATTAATGAAAATCTGCTTCATAACATTACTAATGATGAATTTTATGAGGTTATATCTAGTTATAAAATGAAAAACGCACAGAAGGATAAAATAATGTTTTTTATATTTGATGAATTACCTTTTAAATTTGATAAGAAAAATAAGTTAGAAAATGCTGTAAGTTTATTTCTTTTCCAATGTAATGATTTTGATAAGTTTTACTTAAAATTAGGGGTGTTTATGTAATGTAGCCTCCTGAATAATTTTCAATTTTATTGCTGCGTATCCCTCTAAATTTCCCATTAATGAGACAAGTGTTACTGGATATATAACAAGGTTCAACCTGTTTTCATGGTTTTGAGCTTTTTACTCGACATTGATTTTTCCTTGGCTCTAAATAAAAATTTGAACAAGGTCTAAGATAAAGCAACAGGCTGAAACAAAGGTCAAGGATCCTATTTGAATAATCAATTCTTATTAGTAAATAAAATAATTTTTAAATTTTAGCTTGAAGATATATTTGATGTACATTTTCTTCATATTAATAATGCAAAATCGAACATGGCTATTAATTATGTAAAGTTTATTATGTCTGAATGGGCTAAAGATGAATACAACTGCCAAAATATTGAATTTTTGCTGTCTGGTTCTAAATATTTAAATACAGATATTTCCGATTCGGATGTTGATGCTAATGTAATTCTAACAAATTTAGTAAATGATGGTTGTAAAATAAATGAAATAAATAAGTTTTTTGGTAATCCAAGCAAAGATTTATGTCAAAATACTGAGAGAAGTTCAGAATGTGACGATTTTTCGTTATACTGTATTTTATGTCAGGCAAGGAAATTTTTAATGAGATATTCTGTTATTAATTACAATGCTGGCTGCGGCAAATTATGATCACTTTTTGGAAAAAAAATTTTTTCTTATAATTATTATTTTTCTAAGGAAATTGTTTAAATTTAATAAGTTAATCTGATAAAAATTTTTTGACAAAAAATATAACTATGATATAGGCAAGGTTTATATAATTGAATACACTCATAGCTGAGTTGACTTTTATTTAGAAATTTTTAGGAGGCTCCAATCAAGCAACTCCGAAAAAACATTCATTCTAGAATAAAAATTATGGAATTTACCGCGTTTGATGTTAAATTCGATATATCTTTTGTAATAATTAGACAAGACTTTAAAGAAATTGAATTAATAATTGATAATTATGGTAGAGAAATAGATATATTAAAACAATTATCAACTACTAAAGAGATAATTAAAGATAAAGAAGGAGAAATGTTCATTTTAGCTTCATTAAATTCAAACAAGATTATGCAAAATATCATTATCAAAAGTGGCAATTTGGAAAAATTCCAGTTTATTTCAAAAACTTTAAAATTATGGGCAAAAAGTAAGTAAACATACACTGCGTTCCAAAAGTATATGCACCCCTGATTTTTGATTTTCTATACATTTTTCTTTGTTATTTTAATTAGACTTTTTGTCTATCTATTCTTCTATGTAAATGTGTATGTTTAAACAAGAAAATAAAAACTTCCCCGATTCTGTTTCATTTTTATACACATTTATGCAAAAATTCACTGTTCCAAAGTATAAGGGGTGCATATATGAAATGCATATACTTTTGGAACGGTGAATTTTTGCATAAATGTGTATAAAAATGAAACGGAATCGGGGAAGTTTTTATTTCTTGTTTAAACATATACATTTACATAGAAGAATAGATACACAAATAGTCTAATCAAAATAACAAGGAAAAATGTATAAAAAATCAAAAATCAGAGGTGCATATACTTTTTGAACGCAGTGTAATACATGTATATTAAAAAATTATTAAAAATTAAAATTATGTAGAATTGTAAGGGGAACCACCTAGAGCATTTAAAACGCTTAGGCGGAGGTTAAACGATCTAAAAACGAAAAAGAGAAAACATTAGTCGATGCCTCTGTCAGGAGGTCACAGGAATCCTGCCCGGCGCCCGTGCCTACTTCCAAAATAAGTATGAAGAACCCTATACATACATATTAAACAAAATTTGAATAAAAAATTCAGATCATTTTATCTATAACAACCAATTCGGCTTTCTAAATGGAGCAACTCTGAATTTGCTTATTCTTAAAATTGTTCTTCTTTATTTTGATTCATCCAAAGTTTATTTGCTACAAAAATTTTTGGAAACATTTACTGAATGGTTATTAATTTTAAAAAATAAAATTTGAACAAATTTTTAGGGATTGGAGATTTCCAGTCAAATTAGAAGAATTAACTCAAAAATCGCAAAGTTGGAATGAAGAAACAGAAATTAATTTTAGAAAGAACCAATATCTTTCAAAATATATTAATTATAGTAGTGAAGAAAAAATTAGATTAGAAAAACATACTAATCCAATAATGGTTGTGTTAACACTTGGTTATCCAGAACAGAATTGTTCATATAATGTTAATTATTCTACAAGAAAAATAATTTTGAAAGAGTTTGAGAATGGTATAAATTTTAAAAAATTTTATCAAGATTGAAAGCGAAAAAGTTTTAAAAATTTGAGTTTGGACCTATTTATGCTTATATTTTAGAAAATATTTTTAGGAAAAACTAATTAATAATATTCAAAATTATTAAAAACTTAAGGAATTGATATGTTAAATAATGCAAAAAATATTAATGACGGAAATGAGAATTTAAAACAAGCCTGGAAAATGTGGCTTAATGGACCGAAATTTTTGGAAAAGGTTGAAAATTAATTCAAAATATTTTACTGACAATAACTAAATTTTAGTATAAACATTTTTTGTTTATCTTATGCATTGATAAATTTCACACAAAAGAAAGCGAAAATTATTGTCGTTTTTTTGAGAGTCGAATCCGTTTAGAATTAATTTTTACAATTGAGGAAGATCAAGAACAAATAAAATATACTCATGCAACTAGTCATGAAAAATGTTTGCCAACTGGAATTAAAGAAAAATCTAGGTAAATATAACAGTCAACAAAGTATTCGTCCTTGCCTTGTAACTCGAGTAGGGGGTGGATAATTTTCGATGTTTTTGATATCAATTTATGGATAATTATATACACACAAGCAAATGAAAAATTAAAATTCTAGACTGGTTTATAAAACAGTTATGATCAAAAGACTAATTTTATCGTTTTTTCTGGAATTTATCGATAAAAACATTTATGCTCAACCAAGAATTTTGATTTCATGGTATCTTGTGGTGCATTTGATTATCAATTTGATTCTCTATCCATTAGTGTC